GGAGGTGGAGGTGGTTTAGGAGGAGGTGGTGGTTTCGGAGGAGGAGGTGGTCTAGGAGGTGGAGGTGGTTTAGGAGGAGGTGGTGGTTTCGGAGGAGGTGGTGGTTTGGGAGGAGGTGGTGGTTTGGGAGGGGGCGGAGGTCTAGGATTAATTGGTAATGGCATTATTGCTCTGCCGCTTTCATTGAACTATGGAGGAGGTGGTGGTGGTGGTTTTCCGATGAGAAATGGCGGTTACAGAATATGGTGGAACGACTAAAGTAAGTTTAATATATTATATTATTATACATTCATTTCAATATTTTCTTATACCATCATTGCTTATTTAAGTAAAATCACATATATTATTTAGAGATCTATTGGCTTAGGTAATATTGATAAATTTATTAATTTTCCAAAAGATTTTAATAGAATTGGACATATGTCATTTTCCCATTACAATCAAAAGTTATTCTGGCAACATTTTTTTAATTAAGTTATTTGTATTACATAAACTTTAAAGAAAAATGTTTTTGAAAATAGGGTGTTACGTAAATTTGACGAAAAGTGACCTATTTGAAGAAATTTGTTTTCTTTAACAGTAAATATATCTTTATAAATGTACATCGTCATGTTTTGAACAGTATTAACAAAATGACGCTCCCAATATTGTCTACTGTAAATTTTTTGATTATTCTTAAAAATAAAGATTTAATTATCTTTGGTGATATATTGTATCTACAGAGAAAGAGAAAAAATCCAGTTCACGCCTTTTTAGTTTGCTGAGAAGAAGAAGTTGTCATCAAATGTGGATCGCTAAAAATGGAGTCTTCAAGTGCTTCATCTTAAATATTTTTATCCACCCTTCAGTGGTGATATTCTATGGATTATTCTCAGAAGTTAAAAATTAGCGGCTCTTAGTAAAATTTATGTTAAAAAGATAACTTCGTACTAGCTCGGTCGCTAAGTGATATGTATTGATTTCGTTATGTATCATTTTCTCCAAACTGAAATAAAAGATTTCATAAAAATAACTAGACAAACTTATCTATCTTTTCTTCCGTACGTTTCGCGTGTATTTGAAAGCAGTCAGTCAAGTCCGAATCACCATTTCGTCGCAACCTGGGAGGGTCAGATGCAATGGATACCTCTTCCTCCCTCTTTACGGTTTCTATTTTAAAACTGATAAATGCTAACGAAAATTCTCGAAAACAAGCTATGTCACTTTGTTAAAACACTGTTTATTCTCACCTCTCCAAAGCCATGCCCATGAATGTTATGCAGTAGCATTTAGTGCTTCAATACCACTTCGCTTCATTTTGTTGTGAAAAACATTTCGCAAACAGTTCACTGGTAAATCATCAGTTTTCACTAGATCAACTTATCAAGTGCGTATTTCACATAAATACCCTATTAAAACACATTTAATACGTTAATCTAGTTAATGTGGTAAGCTTTGCTAATAGCTGACTTGTTCAGTATAATACCCCGGATATTGTTGTATTATTTCGTATTAGATTTTAGGTGAGCAGAGAGTTCATGAATGCTTAAGATATTTGGGGAATTATTGGTGTGAAGTGTTTCTTGGCTACTTCAGAAAGTAGGGTAATGCTGTTTTGTTGCTTTTGTTGGGTTTGATATTCTCTCATGAAGGCTGTGTTTTTGACTGCTTTTATGACAGAGTTGTTTTTTTAGTTTTGGTGCGTCTCAGTGGTGAATATTTGTTGCCTGATCATTAGTTTGGTATATGGGTTATGTTCAATTGTATTGTACGTTTGATTCTGTGGGTTTGGTATTGTTGTGTATATTGTAAATTATTTTTGATGTCTTTATATTTAGGACATCCTTTGTAATTTGCCGTGTGTCTTTGTTTGCAATTGATTCAGGGCTTTCGTGTTATTTTGTACAGGTTGAAATATAATGATCTCCACCACAGACCACACATCGTGGGTGAGATCAACAGGCTGCCGCGACATGGCCGTAACGTAGGTGATCGTAAAATTGATACTAGAGGATAATACCATTTGTTCTACACTCCGACACGCTAACCACTGGACAGCATTCGGCCAAGCAGAACATATGTAGAATATTTTTACTTATGATAAATAGCTAAACAGGCAAAGTCATATCTTTTGTAATGATACATTTGAACAAAACCGAAATTATATAATAAAAACTTATAACAGTTTTATCAAATTAAAACATTCACTGCCTATTGTTCAATCACCGCACAGATTGCCACTGTGCATCTTTGCGCCAGAAACAAACATACAATGCTTTTCAAAATATCCACTGTTTTTCACTATCAAGTCTTTCTATTACTAAAAAAAACCTTATTTTCTACAAAAAGGGGTGTGTTATTTTGAATGTCCAACAGGAAACACAGAGAAAGAAGCATGGTTTGTTAGCCAAAACCTCACTTGTATATATATCCATTTACATCGTGTTATCGACTTCATTAGAGATTCAGAGTAGAAGCCCCTTAAGTGACGTATAAAGTATTTTTTACCACAGATTTTCACAAATATTCTCAAAATATTCTAACCTATATTAAAATGGATAGAAAACTTGACCGCTTATTCGTATTTACCAATTAAACTATTTATTTCACTCCAGTGACAGCTTTATCGACAACATGAGTTTATCATCAACTAAGTTGTAGTAATTAAATTTCTGCGACAGCTCTATAGACTAAACTAACCATTCAAGCTTGTAGAAAACGTTATGAAGTGAAGAAATATTTTAAGCAGATTGTCAGTTTAATCAATGAAGTAAACTATTGAAATGTGATTACTTTAATTTCAACGCCTCGTAAAATACAACAATATACAAAACTGACTGCAAATCGTCAGTAACGAAAACTCTATCAACAGTTGACGAAACTAATTTTCTTTTCTTTTCTTCAGAACTTAAAATTTCAGAGTTTAGCAGAACAACTCGAAGTAGCTGGGAGTAGTAATAAGAATAGGCTGTTTTTGGGGTGTTTTTTTTTCTTCATAATTTAGTGGTAGGTACACAATCGAATAATTCAGTTCGAAGAAGTTAAGAACATGCATGATGTTGTTATAGTGGATGCCCAGTGCAAGTTATTTTAAGACGTGTAACAAAACGTCAGCTGATTATATATTAATAGAATTTCCATTTTTGACTTGGTACCGTTTTATTTTTAACTAGCAGCGTTACCCGGCGTTGCCTGGGTTTTCGAAAAAAAAAAATCCTACTCTCTCTGTTTCCCCGTTCCATATTTCGATAGGTAAAAAATATTTTGTGAAATTACAAAACACAACAACTTTAAGTTTGATTTTTGTAAGTAAACTACGAACCCGTTTTAAATCAGGGCTTTTTTATGAACGATGTTTTTGTTCCTTCACTGGCAAGGATAAATAGGCCCTTATGGAGAATATGTAGATTATCTTATACACGTATGAGTACCTGTTCTGGCGAACAGGATAAACATAGCTGTATTCCCCTCATCATCCATTATCCCTTCTCAAATGTTAAAATATCAAACGTAAATATGTATGTAATGTTATGTTGAATTTGCTTTAACGTAAATTTTAATGTAAATTTTCATCAATGTGATACCGTATTCACATTATAACATTGATGTATGAAATATACGACAAACAAAATTCAATATTGTGCTTTATAATATATTTAAAGAAAAAAAATGTACTTCCAGGTATCGAACCACCCAGAGAAAAAATGTATAATAAAATACATTCACTGACTTGGCTTTAATCTAATTTTACACAATAAGTATTATAATGTAAGCTTTACTCTTTTTACGTAGTGTATTTTATGACAGACAGCATAATTTTATTTGATAGGCTAGATCTACTGTTTGCTTTTTCACACAAGACATTCTAATTCTGCATGCATTTGTGTGAAGTTAAATATATGATGTATTAGTAGATGTATAGTAAATGACCTATAACTAAACATGCCTATAATGCTATAATCTAAATTAAATGTTAACTCAATTAAATTAAATGTTAAATTCTAAATTAAATGTTAACGTATCAAAAAATGTCACCTCTGCATGGAACTTATTCATGTAGTGTATATGTTAACGATAAAATTACTGGTTCGGCTAGCAGACGATAGACGCGTATATCAACAAAAAATTGTCGTTTTGTGCACCTTCACGTGAGAGAAATGTGACCTGCACAGTGAATGCAGAGGAAAAACAAGCAAGCAAACAAACAAACAGAAAGATTTTGAGTTTTATATATATATTAATCTATACTCGTTCAATTAGGCTCTATTTCAAGATTTTGATTTAGTATCGTTTGATTTTGCGTTAATTTAAAAGGTATGCTTGCACAGTTAAGGAATATTCCAAATATTTTGCCATGATTCAGTTTCATTTCCGATAGTTCTTGTTCTTCAGTTTATCCATAACAGGAGGACAGATGAGGGATGGTATTTTTGAAACATGATATAATCCAAGAACAGACCGGGCCTCACGTTTCATGTTTTTGTGTGTTTTTTTCCTACTGAATTACACAATTACACGAACCAATTATATAATAATGTCCACAGTCTGGCACGCAGACCGCTGGACCGGCAAAATGTTACTACGTTGTCACTGTTACTCAACATTAAAACAGCTAGTGTTAGGCCCAATTTCCGTGAAAACAAATTCCTAACTTCAGTGTCTTCATTAAAAAAAGTAAATTATATTAACAGTACACTACTGATATAAGTTTGCAACACCTTTTATAACTATATTTTTAGGACTAAAAGATATAGTTTAATACTTTTAGAATAGTCTTAAACGTTTAAAATAAACTTATATGAAATATTACAGAAATATAAAAATATTCTCAGTAAGTATCAATTTAATTCAAGTATTTTTAAGTGAAATAACAGTGTGAGTTCGTATGATAAATTAGTACATGTCTGTGGAACAGATTAATTCCATTTTAAAGATCATTTTTTGCAAAAAATGATTTGCCCAAAAAGAGTTTGAATAAAGCACTAATCATTTTGAGGCTGCAGTGCAGTTAGATAATAGGTTAGTACCTGAAACACAGAAATACTTAAAAATATATATTATATATGAGAAAGAAAAGCTTTATGGATTTACAGGTGATTTAAGCTGTAAGATTGAAATGACACAGCACTTACTACGAAGCAACTATTCAAGCATGAATGATTTTCTGAAACGTTTGAATGCAACTTTCCACTACTACTACTCACAAAAGTGAAAGATAGTGTGGAAATCTACCCATGGAGATTCTAATAGGGTCCATGCCTAAGTTACGTTTTCAATTAAACCTGTAAGTTCCTACTTACAATAGCTTTTATATAGCATGTAAAATAACAGATGTAATTTTTATTCAAGTCTCCCACATAACTCTTTATGTTTCTACTGTTCTCACTATAAAAAGTTCAATAAAGTATTTTTCGTGGCATAGCGGCTCACAGAATGGCTCTGAGTTTTTTTTTCAAGTACAAACTTTTCTCTCAAACCTGTATTTTTGATCGATTTGAGATCTAATTACAGCCGCGGCTATTAAGGATTTCCTCTTGTTGTTTATACTGTTTTATCAATAATAAAATTGGCATACACCACCCATTCATTTCAGAAGGACCCGTTTTAAAATTTACTTTCATATCAAACGTTTAGAACATGAATAGTGAGTAAAATCTTATAAGAAAGAACCAGTCGTATGCATATGTGGTAAGTAAATCAGTTAAGACAAACAAGAAACAATTGAAGCCACTTTTTTTTTTACTAATTTCTGTCCATTACAAAACCGAAATCAGTTAGTTTTTCAGTTAGATATGTTATAAATATAGTATTATTTACTCTTATGTGTTTTTATTACACTATGTGATGAGAGGCAAAAATTGTACTATTCACGTACAGCTACAAGCTGCGTCTGTGGATGTGAAAATTGACAATGAAAATAAGTTTGGAAAACACTAAAATATTAGACTGTTAGTTTAAACTATTATTCTATGAACCAATTTTTACAACTCTGTGAAAAATGTCAAAGTAATTAAACTATTACTTATTTAGTTTTCGAATTTACACACGATGATTCAAACCTATCTATCGACACACGCTAATACTTCATATCATCAAAAATTATCAGAGTCGTCAGGCATGTATTAATCTATATGTCCCACGTGTCAGGGTTTTACGGGTTTCAACCGTCCGATTATACCAGTACAACAATGTTTCAATTTGCGTTATTTTCTATTATTTTCCAGCTGAAACGCACTAACGTCCTAACAAATTGGTATGTAGTTTAAATGAGTAAACCCTTCAGAATGAATACAAAATTGCTGCTTAAATCATTCAACAAATATAATTGTTAATAAGAAGTTCTGAGTGAAAGTAAAGAACAGTGTGTAATAATACATCAATCACACTGTAACGACGAGGCTTTTCACAAGTCACGAAGGCTCTTCAAACCAACTAGGATACAACAGGCAAACAGAGTAATAATTGACACACTATTTATATTGGCAAATCGCTTGACAACAACTGTTATGGTGTGAACTGGATTAAGCTCAAAAAGTGTAGGTTTTCATCAATTTTTACTTATATCACAATGCATCAGAATTAGGGTAAAAAGTAGTTAACACTATATTATTTATTTCTTTTAACACCATATATTATTAATCATTATTTAACTTGAATTAACCTGATCATTATTCAGAAGATCTGACGAACCAACAAGTTAGACCCAGTAGAAAAGTTTCAAAATTATGTGTGTAACATAAGCACCGACTTGTCAAGAATATTGGGGTGAATTGGGGGCAGGGGGGGGACTCCTTAACGTTCTTTATCCACATTATAAATTACTAAATTAAAAAAAAATTTAGATGAAAACGGACTGATACTCTTATAATTCACACTATACACTATTATGCTATCGTAAATACGAAATTAAACACTTATAATTCACACTATACACTATTATGCTATCGTAAATACGAAATTAACATATCTGAATAGAAAAGGTCAGCGCAGATACAATCCGCACGACCATTCGTGTTATGTTGACAAAACGCAAGTTAAAACGTAAATTAACCAAGCAATAAAAATCACAATATAAATCACGTCTTCGGAGAATAATATGTTATTAAAATAATAGTGTCATTATAAAAAAATATATACATATTCACTCGTAGCGTTTGAAAACTAGTAACTCACGTACAAGATACTAACTTTCATGAAATATATTAACATTAATTAAAAAAAACATAAAAATTAAATCTTAGCCAGTATATGAAGAGTTATACAGTTTTGGGGTGGTATTGAAAATTCCGCCATTCATTCCACTAAATACTAGCCCCCACCCCCAGTGGCTCAGCGACAAGTCTGGAGGCTTAGAACGCTAAAAACCGGGTTCCGATATCTGTGCTGTTCCTACCACAGATAGTCCATTATGTATCTTTCCGCTTAGCAACAGCCAAATACATAATTACTGCCATCTACAGGTTAAAAAAATCATAAAGCACTGATATTTACTTTATAGCCCTTTAAATTGGGCTACTGTTAATCCTCTAATTTGTATTATCATTTTAATTCAAACAAAACTTCAAATTGGACCAAAAACAATATATAAATTTATAAAACAACTTGGTAAATTAACACAGGTTTTCTTTTTTGCCCTTTTCATTTTAAGTATGGAAACACAAATAATGCCACTTTTCCTTGTATGAGAGATTCTGGTCATCAAATTGATTAGAAATCAACAAGAATTTTATACAAAACCAATAACTAAATAAAAAGAAGAATCGTTGAAAGTCACTTAGTCACAAGTCTGCCTAATTTCTTCATCTCTTAAGGTCACTTTAAATACATTCCTGACCTCCTGTGTCCTTTAGGAAATGCGGGGTCACGTAGGCGTTTTAACCAGTTTTCTTAAGACAACTTGAGACTGTAAAGGACGCACAGATATGTCGAAACTAGTTTCTCTAATATCAAGACTTCTGACGGCCTGTTCCATTTACCCTGGTTTTTCACTGGCCATGCTACAATTCAAATCATATGACTACGTTAAGTACATTATTAGGAAAAATTCATAGAAGTTGTTGGGATCGCAATTATGCAACAGCTGTTAGATTAGTACAGTAGTGATACTACATGCAGATATTGTAAGATTTATTGGGGTGGGGACGTGATCCCCTAAAATAAATATTTTTCAGGTTAAATGCTCCCTATGTATATTAACAACTATGAATATTCATAAAATGCTGTAATCTTAATTCATGATTTTCTAGCTTTCAAAGTGTATTTCTAAACAATTTGTATAAACTGTGCCTGAAAATAAATGTTCTATAGTTCTCATATTTGTTAGCAACGTTTGTTTGTTTGGATACTTTTAGTATGTTAAAATGAACAACCAAGCAACTTTAGGCTTTTCTTTGTTGTTTGTTGTTAAACAAAAAAAACAACACAACTGTCTGAGCTCTGCCCCACTGCAAGCATCGAATTTGAAGCCCAATTTTTAGTGTTATAAGTTCTTACCCCCGAGTCACAGGTGGACAACTTTAGGCACTATGATATATACGTAAAACAGTTACGTTTCATACAGAATGGTATCATCGTATTTTTATTATGTACATTTTGTTACAATGCTTTATGGGTGTATTTTAAATATATAAACATAAAAATGAAATCCAGGTATTATTTTTAGATAAATACTGAATAACGGTGCTTGATTAAAGGAAAAATCATTGTCTTAAAAAAGAGTGCAAATCTCCTGTCAGTAAACTATATATAGGTATTAGTTAAGCAAAACAAATGATAATTACGTACTAGAAACTTTTAGATTGTGCCCAAGAATTTTAAGATTGTTTTTGTTCCTTAAATGTTGAAAATGTGAGACACGAAGTATCATGAAATTTTTAGCTTTGTTTCGGAACAAAAATGGCACTAGTTTTTCGTTTAGCGCTTCTTCTGAAAACATTAACAGATGCTAAACATCTGTGATATTATGAAAGTGAAAGTTTGGTTTATTTTTATGTAATCAACGAACACATTCAACCGTTAATTGAATCGTAACACTTTCAGGCTTATATTGATTTCTCTGAAATGTGTTTGGTTAAAGTGGGTCATAATTCCGAATAGATGTTGTTTTAATGTTAGTCATAGGAATTAGAAACGTTTCATCTTAGTAAATTTTGTGTACTATGTTAACAACTGCCCTACAATTGAAGTGTGAAGATAATAGTGTACAATAGCGACATTGTTGATCAAGAATGACGTATAATTATAAACAAGTTGTCTCATTACACTTTGCCAAATTCTCATGAAATAAAGAACACAAAAAGGCTAAAGACAAGTATATAAGACGAACAGAGTTGCAAACACGTCAAACTATCTTCATCCACAAAAGAGGATCAGCAGTTAAACCCAATATGAAGAAAAGGGTAGGTGAGAAACTAGGCTTAGTAAACTGGAATCAAATCTATAGTTCTCAGAGCCGTTGAAAACCTTTGTTAAAAGTACTCATAGTTAAACAATAGTAAAAATTTATGAAGAATTGTTACTGTTCGATCAAACTAGCAGTATCGTAGGTTTCAATTAAGAATATAATGATTTTTATATCCATGTTTTTCACTCTAAAACAAATGAACACATGATCTAAACTTTTAACAAATCACAAAATCCTAGTTTAATTCAGTTCTGTTATAAAAGGCAAAAGAACTTTGTGCAGTTTCGAGTTAAATCCTAAAACAATTATTAAATATTGGCTAGAGGGTTTTAAATTATCACGAAAATATAAATTTACAAATATAATCCATTTTTAATGTATTAGCATCTTTTATTTTTGAAATCCGATGCTTGATTCCCCGCGGTGGGCACAGCGGATAGCCTAATGTCGCTTTGCTCTAAAACAAACAAACGAACAAACTTTGATTTTTTATATAAACATTTATATTTCTTTTCTGTAATATTTTTACAAATAAATCATGGTTTTTCTTTTAACTTTTATTCCAACAGGTGGTATTTATTTTGTCCCTCCTAACTTTGAAAGCAGTAGTACACGCAGAGACCGAAGATAACGTGAAAACAGAAGATGATCTAAAAGCTTCAGAAACCGGTTATGGCGGAGTTGGAGGTTTAGGTGGTGGCTTAGGCGGAGGTTTAGGTGGTGGCTTAGGCGGAGGCTACGGTGGTGGTTTGGGCGGAGGTGGTGGTTTTGGAGGAGGTGGTGGTTTGGGCGGAGGAGGTGGTTTTGGAGGAGGTGGTGGTTTTGGCGGAGGTGGAGGTGGTGGTCTCGGTGGATTCGTAGGCATATCGGTAAGCTATTAGATGCGAGACTTCATCAAATAACCTTATATTCATCTTCATGTGACATTTATTGAACGTCATCTTAGCGATGTAAAATATGTTATACGTAATCATCTATTATAATTACTGAGTAACGCTGTCTTTAAAAAGATTTACGGTTATTATTTTGAACCTCATTCAAAGTAAGTTAGATATTTAGACTAAATTATTATATTTGTGCAGCAAGTACTTGTGTAAATTAAAATGCAGAAGCCTTGAATGGACTGTTAGATCATGTATTTTAAAATGACTAAAACTTATTCAATAAGTATCATAGTAACCAAAATAGATAGTAAAACTGTCATTAAACTATTACCACGAGATGACTTTTCAACTATCATCGCTTTAGAGAAGCTATGAACCACATTATACATATGGCACATGTTGGTATTTTCATCTCTTATATAAACGTAGTTATACAGTGTATTTCTTGGTTTCAGTTTAGACAGAGCTCAGGATCAAACGTTATT